TGGAAAATATTCTTCACGAAATCCACGTTTCTATTGCTCTTTGAAAAAATATTCTTTAAAAAATCCACGTTGCAGTTGATCCTTGAAAAAATATTCTTTAAAAAATCCACGTTTCTGTTGATCCTTGAAAAAATATTCTTTAAAAAATCCACGTTTCTGTTGATCCTTGAAAAAATATTCTTTAAAAAAATCCACGTTTCTGTTGATCCTTGAAAAAATATTCTTTAAAAAATCCACGTTTCTGTTGATCCTTGAAAAAATATTCTTTAAAAAATCCACGTTTCTGTTGTTGAAAAAATATTCTTTAAAAAATCCACGTTTCTGTTGATCCTTGAAAAAATATTCTTTAAAAAATCCACGTTTCTGTTGATCCTTGAAAAAATATTCTTTAAAAAATCCACGTTTCTGTTGATCCTTGAAAAAATATTCTTTAAAAAATCCACGTTTCTGTTGATCCTTGAAAAAATATTCTTTAAAAAATCCACGTTTCTGTTGATCCTTGAAAAAATATTCTTTAAAAAATCCACGTTTCTGTTGATCCTTGAAAAAATATTCTTTAAAAAATCCACGTTTCTGTTGATCCTTGAAAAAATATTCTTTAAAAAATCCACGTTTCTGTTGATCCTTGAAAAAATATTCTTTAAAAAATCCACGTTTCTGTTGATCCTTGAAAAAATATTCTTTAAAAAATCCACGTTTCTGTTGATCCTTGAAAAAATATTCTTTAAAAAATCCACGTTTCTGTTGATCCTTGAAAAAATATTCTTTAAAAAATCCACGTTTCTGTTGATCCTTGAAAAAATATTCTTTAAAAAATCCACGTTTCTGCTGATCCTTGAAAAAATATTCTTTAAAAAATCCACGTTTCTGTTGATCCTTGAAAAAATATTCTTTAAAAAATCCACGTTTCTGTTGATCCTTGAAAAAATATTCTTTAAAAAATCCACGTTTCTGTTGATCCTTGAAAAAATATTCTTTAAAAAATCCACGTTTCTGTAGATGCTTGAAAATATATTCTTTAAAAAATCCACGTTTCTGTTGATCCTTGAAAAAATATTCTTAAAAAAATCCACGTTTCTGTTGATTCTTGAAAAAATATTCTTTAAAAAATCCACGTTTCTGTTGATTCTTGAAAAAATATTCTTTAAAAAATCCACGTTTCTGTTGATTCTTGAAAAAATATTCTTTAAAAAATCCACGTTTCTGTTGATTCTTGAAAAAATATTCTTTAAAAAATCCACGTTTCTGTTGATCCTTGAAAAAATATTCTTTAAAAAATCCACGTTTCTGTTGATCCTTGAAAAAATATTCTTTAAAAAATCCGCATTTCTGTTGATCCTTGAAAAATATTCTTTAAAAAATCCACGTTTCTGTTGATCCTTGAAAAATATTCTTTAAAAAATTCACGTTTCTGTTGATCCTTGAAAAAATATTCTTTGAAAACCCACGTTTCTGTTGATTCTTGAAAAAATATTCTTTAAAAAATCCACGTTTCTGATGATCCTTGAAAAAATATTCTTTAAAAAATACACGTTTCTGTTGATCCTTGAAAAAATATTCTTTAAAAAATCCACGTTTCTGTTGATCCTTGAAAAAATATTCTTTAAAAAATCCACGTTTATGTTGATCCTTGAAAAAATATTCTTTAAAAAATCCACGTTTCTGTTGATCCTTGTAAAAATATTCTTTAAAAAATCCACGTTTCTGTTGATCCTTGAAAAAATATTCTTTAAAAAATCCACGTTTCTGTTGATCCTTGTAAAAATATTCTTTAAAAAATCCACGTTTCTGTTGATCCTTGTAAAAATATTCTTTAAAAAATCCACGTTTCTGTAGATGCTTGAAAAAATATTCTTTAAAAAATCCACGTTTCTGTTGATCCTTGAAAAATATTCTTTAAAAAATCCACGTTTCTGTTGATCCTTGAAAAAATATTCTTTAAAAAATCCACGTTTCTGTTGATCCTTGAATAAATATTCTTTAAAAAATCCACGTTTCTGTTGATCCTTGAAAAAATTTTCTTTAAAAAATCCATGTTTCTGTTGATCCTTGAAAAAATATTCTTTAAAAAATCCACGTTTCTGTTGATTCTTGAAAAAATATTCTTTAAAAAATCCACGTTTCTGTTGATTCTTGAAAAAAAATCCTTTAAAAATCCATGTTTCTGTTGATCCTTGAAAAAATATTCTTTAAAAAATCCACGTTTCTGTTGATCCTTGAAAAAATATTCTTTAAAAAATCCACGTTTTTGTTGATCCTTGATTAAATATTCTTTAAAAAATCCACGTTTCTGTTGATCCTTGAAAAAATATTCTTTAAAAAATCCACGTTTCTGTTGATTCTTGAAAAAATATTCTTTAAAAAATCCACGTTTCTGTTGATCCTTGAAAAAATATTCTTTAAAAAATCCGCATTTCTGTTGATCCTTGAAAAATATTCTTTAAAAAATCCACGTTTCTGTTGATCCTTGAAAAATATTCTTTAAAAAATTCACGTTTCTGTTGATCCTTGAAAAAATATTCTTTGAAAACCCACGTTTCTGTTGATTCTTGAAAAAATATTCTTTAAAAAATCCACGTTTCTGTTGATCCTTGAAAAAATATTCTTTAAAAAATACACGTTTCTGTTGATCCTTGAAAAAATATTCTTTAAAAAATCCACGTTTCTGTTGATCCTTGAAAAAATATTCTTTAAAAAATCCACGTTTCTGTTGATCCTTGAAAAAATATTCTTTAAAAAATCCACGTTTCTGTTGATCCTTGTAAAAATATTCTTTAAAAAATCCACGTTTCTGTTGATCCTTGAAAAAATATTCTTTAAAAAATCCACGTTTCTGTTGATCCTTGTAAAAATATTCTTTAAAAAATCCACGTTTCTGTTGATCCTTGTAAAAATATTCTTTAAAAAATCCACGTTTCTGTAGATGCTTGAAAAAATATTCTTTAAAAAATCCACGTTTCTGTTGATCCTTGAAAAAATATTCTTTAAAAAATCCACGTTTCTGTTGATCCTTGAAAAAATATTCTTTAAAAAATCCACGTTTCTGTTGATCCTTGAATAAATATTCTTTAAAAAATCCACGTTTCTGTTGATCCTTGAAAAAATTTTCTTTAAAAAATCCATGTTTCTGTTGATCCTTGAAAAAATATTCTTTAAAAAATCCACGTTTCTGTTGATTCTTGAAAAAATATTCTTTAAAAAATCCACGTTTCTGTTGATTCTTGAAAAAAAATCCTTTAAAAATCCATGTTTCTGTTGATCCTTGAAAAAATATTCTTTAAAAAATCCACGTTTCTGTTGATCCTTGAAAAAATATTCTTTAAAAAATCCACGTTTTTGTTGATCCTTGATTAAATATTCTTTAAAAAATCCACGTTTCTGTTGATCCTTGAAAAAATATTCTTTAAAAAATCCACGTTTCTGTTGATCCTTGAATAAATATTCTTTAAAAAATCCACGTTTCTGTTGATTCTTGAAAAAATTTTCTTTAAAAAATCCATGTTTCTGTTGATCCTTGAAAAAATATTCTTTAAAAAATCCACGTTTCTGTTGATCCTTGAAAAAATATTCTTTAAAAAATCCACGTTTCTGTTGATCCTTGAAAAAATATTCTTTAAAAAATCCACGTTTTTGTTGATCCTTGTATAAATATTCTTTAAAAAATCCACGTTTCTCTTGATCCTTGAAAAAATATTTTTTAAAAAATCCACGTTTTTGTTGATCCTTGAATAAATATTCTTTAAAAAATCCACGTTTCTGTTGATCCTTGAAAAAATATTCGTCAAAAAATCCACGTTTCTGTTGATCCTTGAAAAAATATTCTTTAAAAAATCCACGTTTTTGTTGATCCTTGAATAAATATTCTTTAAAAAATCCACGTTTCTGTTGATCCTTGAAAAAATATTCTTTAAAAAATCCACGTTTCTGTTGATCCTTGAAAAAATATTCTTTAAAAAATCCACGTTTTTGTTGATCCTTGAATAAATATTCTTTAAAAAATCCACGTTTCTGTTGATCCTTGAAAAAATATTCTTTAAAAAATCCACGTTTCTGTTGATCCTTGAAAAATATTCTTTAAAAAATCCACGTTTCTCCTGATCCTTGAAAAATATTCTTTAAAAAATCCACGTTTCTGTTGATCCTTGAAAAAATATTCTTTAAAAAATCCACGTTTTTGTTGATCCTTGAATAAATATTCTTTAAAAAATCCACGTTTTTGTTGATCCTTGAATAAATATTCTTTAAAAAATCCACGTTTCTGTTGATCCTTGAAAAAATATTCTTTAAAAAATCCACGTTTCTCCTGATCCTTGAAAAAATATTCTTTAAAAAATCCACGTTTCTGTTGATCCTTGAAAAAATATTCTTTAAAAAATCCACGTTTCTGTTGATCCTTGAAAAAATATTCTTTAAAAAATCCACGTTTTTGTTGATCCTTGAATAAATATTCTTTAAAAAATCCACGTTTCTGTTGATCCTCGAAAAAATCTTCTTTGAATAATCCACGTTTCTGTTGATCCTTGAAAAAATTTTCTTTAAAAAATTCGCGTTTCTGAGAGTCCTTGAAAAATCTACGTTTCTGTAGTCCTTGAAAGAATATCATTTAAAAAATCCAAGTTTCTGGCCTTGATTATCGCTCTTGGCCCTAAAAAAGATTTATTCTGATGAAATTAAATGCCAATCAATTTTATTGAAATACTTGATTGGCATGATTGTTACAAGTGCCGTAACAAAATTGACAATCAATAAAAATCATTGAATCGTTTTCCACCACAATGTGTCATAAAACACCGGAGAGTGATTGGAGCTTTTATTGGAACAGGGAAAACCAAAAAATATTCCAATAAAAAAAAATAATTGAATAAAGGAGTTACACCAACGAATGAATAAATAGTTGAATCAGTAAATAAATGAAATAAATTTTTTATTATTTAAAGAAATTGTAAAAGATAGGCAAGCCATTTGTAATCCCGAAATGTTTTTCGTTTCATATTTTACAGTTGCAACCTGGGAACAAATGACAAATGACCTCACAACAACCACATACCGAAGCACAAGTACCAGTAGCAGTACCACCACCACCACCACCCTCAGTACTTCGACCCGCCCCAGCACGCCCAGCAAAAGTAAAAGTAGTCTAAGTTCCAACCCACTATCATTAACCAGAAATGGACGAAGCATAGAGACAAATATTTACAGTTCGTCGGCGGGGTCGACGGATGCCGAGAATCATCTTATCCAGCTCACACCTTTGGCACCGCCCACATCGCACTTTGTCAATGATTCTTTTATAGTTTTTTGTCGCACACTACCGCCACCCACACCGACAACGCCCACCATCACCACGACGGAGGGCAACACAACGTCAGCTGCATCAGCGACGTCAACAACTGTAACAACGGCGACGGCGGCGGCGCCTGCCAACCAAGTACAAAGAAAAATCGAGATTAAATGGATTGATCCCAAAGGCAAAGTACGAAAGAACACCAAAGGACGTGTCCACATCGAGAAACGTGGAGGTAAGTCTGTGGAAATCTTCTGCTTAAATCTATAAATTCTTAATATGCGAAAAATGGAGTTGAAGGCGAAGTGAAGCGTTTTATGGAAAATACATTATGAAATGATTTTATATGAGATTTATAGTATCCTTTGGAAGTACTTTGGAAGAAGAAGGCGAAGAAAGGGATGGAGTGGGATTTTGGGATATTGCATTAGGGAACAATAAAAAACGGCTCAATAAGAAAAATATTTTCAATGTTGAATTTTATAAATGGAATGGATTTTTCTAAGGGACTTTCTTGAAGATTAAATCATTTCGTTTAAAATGGGGTGGAATCGAAAAGAATCACAATGGTCCCAAAACATGGTAATTTTTTTATGTTGGGAGTATTTGACCCAATTTGTAAAAAATATCAACTATTTTACGATACTTTGGGGACTATTGGAAAACTTGGACGGATATATCTCATTTTCAATACAAAATATCCCAGCAAACAAATTATGCCAAATTTCAAATTTCATCATCAACTAATATGAGCATCATTAAACCGACTTGGAAGTTTATACTAATCACGAATATATACCTTAAAGCTCCTACGAACAATATTTGGAGGTTTTACACACGGAATAACAGTTTTACAGGCGGAACTTTTAATACCCTTCATCATTTGGAAGGAACGTGAAAATTTGAAATTACCACTTAAATGAAAACTATTATATGGAGACTATAGGAAGACGTGGACCTGCATGCAAACATTTTTGTCATAGGCTGTAGCACCTATTACGAACTTCAAATACGAAACATAAAACAATTCCACTGAATAATGTCGCTGAAATCATCAAAATACCGAATACAGGGAGGTTCCGTTATATGGGCGCTATACGAAGACCTGGGCCAGCATAGACAAATTTTTGTCATTACCAATAGGAACTACAAATACGAAAATTGAAACAATTCCGGTCGTTAAAATGTCATCATAATACCGAATATCGGTGGTACCGATGTTTGGGGGCTGTACGATATCGTGGACCTATATGGACAATTCAGTTCCAGGGGGCAAAGTACTCAAAAGGAGCTCCTTGTGTGGATTTTAAGACAATTCCATTGAACAATTTAGATACATCCATTATCAGTCCAAATGATCTGAATTTTGGCACATCCGACTGAATTTATCATAGAAACAAGTACGTTAAATTTGGTGAAAATCGGTTCAGATATATCTATAGCTCCCATATATGTTTCATCCGATTTTGGTTTTTAAGTCCCTCACATGCGTAAAATGCACTAGATAAGAATTATATTTGGTACCAGATATCAGATACAACCCAGAAATACCTTGCCAAATTTTATAAAGATCGTTTCAGATTTGGATATGGGTCCCATATGTATCTTCAACCGATTTCGGGTTAATTGTATACCTAATTATCATTATTTGTCAGAGCTTTGGTACATCCGTCAGTCTAGAAGCAAATACATCAAATTTGGAGAAAATCGTTAGATTAACTATATAGCTCACATACATATGTTTCATCCGAGTTGGTATTTAAGTTCCTAACATTCGTAATATGCATTCGATAACAATGATATTTGGTACCAGAAATACCTTTGCCAAATTGTATCGAGATCGGCTAAGATTTGGATATAGCTCCCACACTTATTTTTAATCAGATTTCAGGTTTATTGTGGAAATATTGGAAATATATGTATATATATATATATATATATATATATATATATATATATATATATATATATATATATATATATATATATATATATATAAATATATATATATATATATATATATATATATATATATATATATATATATATATATATTTATATATATACCGTGCAGGTATACGTCTTTGTATAGCACCAATATAACGGTACCTCCCGATATTCGGTACTTTGTTGATTTTAGAAACATTATTTACTGGAATTGTTTTAAATTTCGTAACGGATGCAGCCTACAACAGGAGATTGTCTGTGGAAGGTTCACGTCTTCGTATAGCCTTCATGAAACGGTACCTCCCGATATTCCATATTTTGATGATTTCAGCGACATTATTCACTGCAAATGTTTCAAATTTGGCATTTGAAGTTCGGAATGGATACTTCAGCTCAATACAGAAAATTGTCTGTGCTGGTCCACGTCTTCGTATAGCCTCCATATAAACGGTACCTCCCGATATTTTGATGATTTTAGCGACATTATTCACTGGAATTGTTTCAAATTTGGTATTTGAAGTTCGTAATGAATACTACAGCCTATGACAGAAAATTGTTTGTGCAGGTCTACGTCTTCGTATAGCCCCCATATAACGGTACCTCCCGATATTCGATATTTTGATGATTTTAACGACATTATTCGTCGGAATTGTTTCAAATTTGGTAAATGAAGTTCGTAATGGATACTACAGCCTAAGATAGAAAATAGTCTGTGCTGGTCCACGTTTTGGCATAGCCCCCCATATAATTTTAATGATTTTAGGTACATTATTCACCGATTTTTTTCAAGTTTCGCATTTGAATATTGTAATGGCTTATGATAAATGTTGCCTATGTAGGTCCTCGTCGAGGTATAGTCCCTAATATAACGGCTACATTCGGTATTTTTAAAATTTTAACGGAATTTTTAAAGGATTTTATTTATTTATTTATTTTCAAATTTCCGTCCGGCCGAACTTATAGCTTTTTTACTTTTTTAATATAATCCTCCTCGAAGTGATATCATGTACTCTATAGCAATGTTATTTGGTATAAAAGATAAAAATGTCTTCATTCAGATTCAGATTTGGATATGCCTTTCATATATTAATTACCTCTGAAACCAAATTATAACTACTCTAAAGCCAAATGTTTATAGGTGGTATGATCTATTTCAAAAATAATATATATATATTTGTTAAGGGAGCTCTACTAAATACGCGTAGTGCTGTAGGGTATAATATAGTTGGCCCGGCCGACTTTTGACCTTTCCTTATTGATTTCATGTACAGAATTGACTGTCCCAAGAAAATGTATAATCTAGCCCATTAGGCTTGAAACCGTAATATGATCAGGAGCCAAATTATAGTGCATTTTTTGCATTCTAATCAATAATCCTTCAATTCCATTTCTTCTTATTCCTATGCCATCTATTCATAGGAATTTTCTCATTTCCCTTTGCTAACTATTCCATTTCTTCCATTTCTTACAGAATCAACAGCTTTAGTCTTCGAACATATGTCATTGGAAGATTCTGGCAATTGGACATGTGAGGGTAGCAGCAAAGAACAAAAGGAGAGAAAAACATTCGAGTTATCTGTGGTTGGTAGGTACCGCAATTGGACAAATAAATTTGTTTTCTCAACTCTGGGGTTTACCGGGGGTCTCCTCCCGTTCCCCGTCTCCGCATTCATTCATTCATTGTTTGTTTTGTTTTCGAATCTTTCTTTATAACACAATGGCAGTCATTCATTTTCTGGTTAGAACCAAGGAAACGTCCCCCTCCTAAATGAATGACTGACCACCCATCATTTCAGAATTTCTGGTTGTCATTTTAAGTTTCATTTCATGGTTTTGTTTTGTTTTTCTCAAAAAAACGAAATTTCATTTCAACTGGAATGCTCAACTGTTTTAATTTCTTTTGTTTGGTTTGTTTTTTTATCTTCTATTTTCCTCTCTTTTTTTTCAGTTCATCCATTATTTTTCTTTTGTTGGTCAACTCCATGTTTTACAAAAATCTCGTAAGAGGTACTTCAATACCAATGACTTAACACCCAGAAGCTTAGGGTTTCCTGTTATGATTTACGTGAAGTATTTTGGATTTTTTTGTTTTGTTTTTTGGTTCGACACATGCCTTTGTTTGTTGTAGTTATCTGACTCCCATTGTTTTTAATTCATGTTTTTCTCGTTCTCGTTGTTGTTTTCATTTTTTTGTTGTCATGGCATAGAAAAAATCTCCTTTGACAAAGTGGAAATGGTGCAATCGGCCCGAGATGGCCGGGATGCCACGGTGTATTGTAAAGTGCGAGCTGAGCCTGCACCCTCGATTACATGGCAGTTCAATGGTGATCCTATACCGGGTAAGTATTGGAGAGAGGAAATATTTGCATGTCATAGATCAATACAGCTAAAATAAAGGGTTATCGGAACACTATTAATTTTTTAATTTTTAATACCCTTAGCTTAAGGACTAAAGATGATTTATTCCACTTAAAAGAAACCATGTCTGAACGAAATCAATTTCAGGACATTTATGGTCGAACTAACTATGTCCGCCTCTGTTGTTGGCCAAACAACAAACAACATCTCTACAAATCGTAATGTTTTTGTGAAACTTTAATGTAGGACCATATTGGTCTAATTCCACTACCTCTTGGGCAAATGTTTAAAACTTTTAAAACCACGTATAACTTATATAGAAATATATTACGTAGAGTTTAAAAAAAATCACGATTTGGTGTATTCCTTGTGATACCTCCCCCACAAAGATCCAATATTCTGAAAAAAAGCTTCACAACATTGTTTTTTCTAATAACTAGAAGAAAAAGTCGGTGGACTAAAAAACGAGTAACAAGTAAAAAAGCTGTAAGTTGGGCCGGGCCGAACTTTGAATACCCACCACTATTTGGTATAAAATTGGAAATTTTCGAAAAAATAAAATCCGTTAAAAATTCTGTTAAAATCTTAAAAATACCGAATGTAGCCATATATTAGGGTCTATACGACGACTTGGACCAGCATAGGCAACTTTTGTGATAAGCTATTACAATATTCAAATGCGAAACTTTTAAAAAATAATGTAGATAAACCATCCAAATACCGAACATAGGCAGGTACTACGGGGGTCTTAAAACGTGGACCTGCCTAGAAAATTTTCTGGCATAGGCTGTAGTATACATTACGAACTTATAATACAAAATTTGAAATAATTCCGGTAAATAGTGTCGCTCAAAGCATCAAAATACCGAATATCGGGGGTACCGTTATATGGGGGCTATACGAACACGTGGACCCGCACACACAATTTTCTGTCATAGGCTGTAGTATTCATTACGAACTTCAAATACCAAAATTGAAAATCATCAAAATACAGTATATCGAGGGGTAGCGTTATATGGGGGCTATACGAAGACGTGGACCTTCACTGACAATTTTACGTCATAGGCTCTAGTATCCATTAGGAACATCAAATACCAAATTTGAAATAATTCCGGTGAATAATGTCGCTAAAACCATCAACATACCGAATATCAGGAGGTACCGTTATATGGGGGCTATACGAAGACGTGGATCTTCACAGACAATTTTCTGTCATAGGCTCTAGTATTCATTAGGAACATCAAATACTAAATTTGAAATAATTCCGGTGAATAATGTCGCCAAAACCATCAAAATACCGAGTATCTGGAGGTACCGTTATATGGGAGCTATACGAAAACGTGGACCTGCACAGACAATTTTCTGTTATAGGCTGTAGTATCCATTTTGAACTTCAAATACCAAATTTAAAACATTTCCGGAGAATAATGTCGCTTAAATCACCCAAATACCGAAAAAAGGGAGGTGCCATTATAGGGGGGCTATACTATAACGTGCACCTACATGACCCATTTTCAATACCAAAAGTCCTGCAGACATAAAGTACATTAGAGTAACATTTTATCAACTTACTTCATTTCGTTCGGAAGCTAGAATGATTTCTACAGACGGATAGACGGACGGATATCGCTAAATCGACATAGAATTTTATGCTGGGGACAGCCAAGATATCGGGTATATAGCAATATATGTACAATCTATGTATAGTGATTGACTGACGGACCAATTTAGTGTTTCCTCAACGGCCAGACGAAATGGCTGAAACTAGAATCTTGAAATTTTGGGTGAGGGTCACAATTGGCCCGAAGGTGTAAGATCATCGGTTAAAGCTAAAAACTTGAAATTTGGAATGTGAATCCAGGTTGAGGAGCAGGGTCGATGCAAGAAGGTAGTGTTCTAAGTGTGTATACCAAAAGTACTAAGCGGTACTAAATTTGGTACAGTATGAATTTGAAGGAACATATGGAGCTGGAATCCTGAAATTTTAAGTTAACATTACCGGAAGTTGTGTAGGATATGAATATGAAGGAAGTTTTTGAAATTTATATACACGAAAACTTAGCACAATTCGTTTTAGGTAAAACGATAGAGCTGGAATTCTAAAATCTTTAAATATGATTACTTTTTGCATTGTAGATCTGAGGTATGTAGTTAGTTTTGGAAATTTGTACTTATGTGTACTAAATGGTACTAAATTTGGTCCAAGTTAAATTTTGGGAGAACCGGTAGATTTGAAATCCTGAAATTTGTAAATAAGATTACTATCGGAGTGTAGGATTGGGATTTTTTACTTATACAGGGTGAGATGCAAAAACTGGAACCAACTTCAGACTGCTGTCATTTCTAAGTCACTCGTCCGACAGCTGTTAAAATTATTCCAGTGACAGCTCATTATATTGTTTACAAGCGTACAAAAGCATTTTGGGGGAATTTTCCAGAAAAAGAGTTATTCGTGATGGAATCTAAGCGTGATAGTGTGATTTCTTTACCTTTGGCTGGAAAACCACAAGTGGCTATCGTTAGAGCACTCCAGCATTTAAATGTGAATAAATCTTATGTGTCTCGTACCATCGCTCGTAGCCCGACGTCAAGGAAGTGGACGGAAGAAAACAGCAACATCAGCAGAAATGGCTTGAAAAGTAAAGCAGCGGCTTGATCGAAACCCGCGTCGCAGTGGCCGAAAAATGGCTCGTGATCTGAATATATCGCAATATTCCATTCGGAAAATATTGAAAAATTATCTCGAGGTAAAGCCATTGAAATTTCAAAAAAATGTGCAAGAACTTACACCGCAACAGAAAGGAAATAGACTCAAAAGAGCTAAAGAGTTGCTTCGCCTGGCCGAAAGTGGTGAACTGCCGAATTTGGTTTTCTCCGATGAGAAAACATTCGTTGTCCAGCAGAGCATTTTGTAAACAAACAAAATGATCGTGTTTGCTTGCCAAAGAGGTCAGCTGAAAATGTGCACCTTTGGTTGGCCACCAAAACTCAAGCGCCGGCCATGGTGATGGTGTGGGCCGCCATAACAGCCAATGGTCGCTCTCCGCTCGTATTAATCGACCGTGGCATCAAAATAAATGCCGAATATTATAGCGAAAATATTCTGGAGGGTATATTAAAGCCTTGGGCACGCAAACATTTTGGCCGCAGACCTTGGATATTCCAACAGGACTTAACACTATCGAACTCAGCACCCGCCACCCAAGAATGTTTACAAAATGAGGTTCTTCGCTTCATTTCCAGCGCATATTGGCCACCAAAATCTCCAGATACCAATCCGTTGGACTATTGTGTCTGGAGTATTTTGGAAAGCAAGGTTGACACTAAAAAATACCAAAGTGTCGATCACCTCAAGCAAGCGCTTCGCCGGGAATGGGCCAAAATACCGCATAGCAACATTCGGGCAGCGTGTGACGATTTCATTGGTGACGGTTTGAAGGCCATAATTCGTGCCAAAGGTGACCAATTCGAACCATTCTAAACTTATTCTAAAATTTGATGCTATTTCCGACAATTTTTGCTTTCATTCAATGAAATTTAAAAGAAAAATTAAAAATTATGGTGTTTGACTTTTTTGCAGTTTTTTTATCTCACCCTGTATATGGGAGCTTATCTAAATCTGAACCGATCTTCATAAAATTTGGCAGAGGTATTTTTAGGATGTATCTGACATTTGATAACAAATATCATTATTGTGGAGTGCATATTACGCATGTGAGGGATTTAAAACCCCAAATCGGATGAAACTATATATATATGGGAGTTTTTTTTTCAAATTTGATGCACTGGCTTATGTACTGAATTTGGTCAATTGGCCATTTGGTGCACAATTAACCCGAAATCGGTTGAAAATGTATGGGAGCTATATCTAAATCTGATCCGATTATCACCAATTTCAATAGAGTTCGTATTATTGTGTAAAATTTGATGTATGAAGTTGGGTGTGGTCCATGTCTTCGTTTAGCCCCAATATATCGGTACCTCCCCATATTCTGTATTTCGATGATTTTGGCTACATTATTCACGATAATGGTTTTAAATTTCATATTTGTACCTTTTTTTTGAAAATTTCCAAATTTTTTCCATTTGTTGAAGGGTATTCAAAATTCGGCCTGGCCGAACGTACAGCTTTTTTATATTCCTTTTTACTCTTAGAATTACTCTAGAATTCGGCCGGGCCATACTTTTAATACCCTCCACCTTAGGGTAAAAGAAACATTAGAAGAAATGTGGCAAAAACCATTAAAATGCTGATTATGGGGAGGTACTGTTATATGGGGGCTATACCAAAACGTGGACCTATAAATACAATGTTTCGCCACCGGAGCTGGAACCCATTATGACCCACAAATACCAATTTTTAGACAAATCAGTGAAAAAATGTGGCAAAAACCATCAAAATATCGAATATCGGGAGGTACCGTTATATGGGGGCTATATCAAATCATGGACCCATGCATGCAATGTTCCGCCACCGGAGCTGGAAACCATTATGACCAACAAATACCAATTTTAAGACAAATCCGTGAAAAAATGTGGCATTAATCATCAAAATACCGAATATCGGGAGGTACCGTTATATGGGGACTATACCAGAACGTGGACCGATATATCTCATTTTCAATACCAACCATCTTAGACACAATGCAAATAGCTCTGCTAAATTTTGGAGCTCTACGTCAAATAATGTGAGCTGTATCGTGATTTCAACAGACAGACAGACAGACAGACGGACATCGTTAAATCGACTTAGAATTTTATGCTGATTATGAATATATATACTTTATGGGGTCTAAAACGAATATTTAGGGATGTTACAAACGGAATGACAAAGTTAATATACCCTCCTTTCCAAGGTGGAGGGTATAAAAATTAAATAAAAAAAGTCTGTGTATGTATTCATATATAATCGGACATATGAATTATACCTTCCAAATTATGAAGCCAAAATTCCCAAATATGGATCATTTAGACCCATGTCATTATTTGTTTTTCTGAAGTCGTTTCTTCCTCGTTCTAATGGAAATCTCTTTCCAGTGTTCAAAATAAAAAGAAACAACGCAATTACTAATTAAGCCATGAACAGTTGCAGACACATCACAACAACAGTAACAAAAACAATATTCTCTAGCAGATAAACAGTAACTAAATACTTGTAACTTATTTTGTTCTCCCTTTCTTTTTCTATCCCTTTAATTTTCTTCCTTTTTTCATGTGTTCTCTTGAAATGCTTGCCCCCCGTTTTTTTGTTCGGTAATGCTGTTAATTTGATTTACTGCAGCGTACAATGGAACCAATCTAACAGCTAAATATGTACCCTTTTCCGATGGCCTGGTGATAAAGGATGTGACCCAAGCAGATGCTGGCGAGTATACGTGCCGGGCGATGCGTGTAACGACGGACTTTGTCGATGCTGCTCAGATAACGATACTATTGAGGATACAACGTAAGTATTTTATTGTAACAAAAAAAAAAAAAAAAAAAAAAAGCAGAAATAACAACAATAAGAAGATGAGGCAATGGTAACAGTCGACTCTGTATAAATATAACGTATAATAAATGTATTTAAGATATTTTAAATATTTATATTTTAGAAAAGTAAATATGGTTCCCTAAATGTTTTCCACTAAGTCGTGATTGGAATTTGAGAGACACCAAATCTGGCTTCCAGGAAAATTGGCTACAAATTCTGAATAAATTGCAGTTATCAGGATTTTACTGTATATTTTTTAGATATGCTAGATAATGGCAACAACAAAAAGTGCATCATTTGTGCTGAACCACTGCAACAGCAACAAACAAACAAACAAATGTGGCTTGCCAACCATTTTAGTTGGCATCGACCAGCAGAGACTCAAAGCCAAGTTTATATTGTTAACGTCTTTTACAAATGTCCCAGGTGGAGTTGATGTTAACATATGGTCACAATGTTGCAATATATAGGTTCCGACCCATTACAAGGCAGTGCTGCAGCAATTCAGGTGCAGGAATGTAATTATATTTAAACGCTTAGGAAGACAAAAGTGCTCAGTGGTCCTAAACCATGATAAAAATCAAAAACCCGAATACCACACATTTTAAATTTAGCGTTGCAGATATTCTCTAAACATATTAAATTTTAATATTCCAATAATATTCATTTTTTACCTTTAAAAACGCATTTATCGTCTCAAAGCAGAGAACTTCGAACATTTTTGGCAATTTTTTGCAGACTACAATTATATAAAAATATTTTGAAAATTCCCCAAACCAGGGGCAGGGTTTTATGGAAGTTATAAAAAAACCAGTTCAATTTTTAACATTTTTGACACATCAATTCGTTACCCTATCCGTAACAGAAATATTAAATTACGACAAAATCGATTGAAAAAATGTGGCAAAAACCCTCCAAAGAAGTAAACATAGGGGTATGGTTCTATGGGAGGTATATCAAATTGTAGACCAATATTAACACTTTTTGCAAGGAAGTCAGGTACCTATTAAGAACACCAGATGTCAAATCTAAGTCAATGTCCATTAAAAATCTACTTCAAATCTTCAAATTTGTCTAAATCGGAGAGTACCATTAAATGGTTTTGAATGAAAGCAAAAAATGTCGGAAATAGCATCAAATTTTAGAATAAGTTTAGATTTGTTCGAATTGTTCACCTTTGGACGAATTGTGGCTTTCAAACGGATAATGTAACCGTCATGTTGCTCTGCTGTATTTTGGCCCATTCCTAGCGAAGCGCTTGCCAGAGTCAACTTTGCTTTCCAAAATACTCCAGACACAATAGTTCAACGGACTGGTATCCGGAGATTTTGCTGGCCATTGAGCGCTGGAAATGAAGCGAGGAACCTCATTTTGTAACAATTCTTGGGTGGCGCGTACTGATGGTGCTGAGTCCTGTAGGAATGTCCATGATCTGAGCATGAAATGTTTGCATGCCCAAGGCCAACCGAAGGTGCACATTTTCAGCTGACCTCTTTGGCAAGTAACCACGATCATTTTGTTTGTTTACAAACTGCTGGACAACGAATGTTTTCTTATCGGAGAAAACCAAATTCGGCAGTTTTCCACTTTCGGCCAAGCGAAGCAACTCTTTAGCTCTTTTGAGTCTGTTTTCTTTCCGTTGCGGTGTAAGTTCTTGCACTTTTTGGAATTTCAATGGCTTTAGCTCGAGCTCATTTTTCAGTATTTGCCGAATGGAATATTGCGATATGTTCAGCTCAAGTCGCCTGTTTACTTTTCGAAACATTTCTGCTGATGTTGTTGTTTTCTTCCGTCCACTTCCTTGACGTCGGGCTACGCCATCAGTATCACGATAACGAGCGATGGTACGAGACACAAAAGATTTATTTACATTTGAATGCTGGAGTGCTCTAACGATAGCCACTTGTGGTTTTCCAACCAAATATAAAGAAATTACACTATCACGCTTGAATTCCATCCCGAAAAACTTTTTTTCTGGAAAATTCTAACCAAAATGCTTTTGTACGCTTGTAAACAATATAATGAGCTGTCACTGGAATAATTTTAACAGCTGTCGGACGAGTGGCTTAGAAATGACAGCAGTCTGAATTTGGTTGCAATTTTTTTATCTCACCCTGTATTTGCATCAGTGCCAAATCAGATGCAAAATTGGACAATATCGACAAAAGGTCGAAATTTTGAATAATTATAACTCTTATAAAATTAGAAGTAGGTATTCGATTCTCTTCAAATATCACACATCCCAATATTAACACAAGGCCCGGAATGAAGTTTACAGTAATTGGCCCATCTTTCTGGTATCTCCCCCACAAGTGGTCACATTTTTCAATATTTATATATCTTATAAATGGTTGTGATTTGTACTTTTCCCTTAAACTTCAAGAAGAAGAATAGGAAATTTTTATTGGAGGTGATGGGACTTTCTCGATTATTTTATGATCTTAATCAATGAGGCCCATTTCGTTGATTTTTCCCCTAAGAAAAAAACGTACGTTATGGAGTATTGCTATTCAACAAAATTTAGTGAATTTTGATATATAAAATATTGATCATCGTGTATTCTGTTAAAATCTTAAAAACCGAATATTAGGGTCTATGCATAGGCAACTTTTGTCATAAGCCATTACAATATTCAAATGCGAAACTTGAAAAAAATCGGTAAATAATGTAGCTAAAATCATCAAAATACCGAATATCGGGAGGTAGCGTTATATTGGGGCTATACGAAAACGTGGACCTGCACAGACATTTTTTTGTCGTAGGCTGTAGTAACCATTACGAACTTCAAATACCAAATTTGAATCATTTCCGGTGAATAATTTCGTTTAAATCAGCAAAATACCGAAAATAGGGAGGTACCATTACATAGGGGCTATACCAAAACATGGCCCATTTTCAATACCAAAAGCCTGCAGACATAATACATGTGTAAATATATTATTATTATTATTATTATTATTATTATTATTGCAAAGCATCGAGAAATGCATTACAGCTCTTATGGAATGTATAAACCCTTTTGATTGATCTTCGTCTTAATTTTGGATATTTGGGATTCTCGGTACATAAAATTCTTAAATACAAATTTACAATAACTTTTACCTATTTGAAAGACCTTAACCGTAATTTTAAGCAATTTCGCTAAGACTTTGCTTTTCTCCACAATGCGTATGAGGATTTTTGTGTTCTAATTTCGTTACTCATACGCACTTGTAAACAGCTGAGCCATTGTTATTGTGATGTCGGTAGAGTTATGGGTTTGGAATCTGTATGAATGCTCCGACTTAAGTACTAAGAGGTACAGACTTAAGTACTAAGAGGTACAAAGTAGTATGGCCTTGATATTAAACGATTATTTAGGTCTACATAAGAGTCCCTGTTGGTGTCTAGTAGTAAAATAAGGAGTTGACTTAAAATTGTTCAATATGATATTTGTATGATATTTCAGAATACTAATAGACCTTCTCAAACAGGACTACCAATATTTTTCTTAAAGAAGACATCAAATTCTCATATATTACCAATAATAGTAATTTTGGAGAAAAAACACGGATACATAAACCAGTAAAGAAAGTCCTAAAGTCGGGCGGGGCCGACTTTATGATACCCTACACCACTTCGCTAATTTAGTAGAGCTCCACATAACAATTAAACATTTTTATGGGAGAATTTAATCATACACGCTATGATTATAATTGTAATTTAAAGTTGAAAGGACTAAATATGCCGAAGCATTTGTGTCTTTTAAATTCGGACTTGTATTGCCCATTTGGTGCAAAATTAATTTGAACTCAGATAAAGATATATGGGATGGGAGCTATATCCAAATCGGAACCGATCTCGATAAAATATGGCAGAGATATTTCTGAGCTGTATTTGATATATTTCCCTGAATATCGTTGTTACTGAGTGCATATTACGGCTGCGGAGGACAAAAATAACAAATCGGATGAACAATATATATGGAAGCTATAGCTATATCTGAACCGATTTCGATCAAATTTGGCATACTTATTTTCAGGCCTAATTTGACATATTTCCCTGAATATCGTTGTTACGGAGTGCATATTACGGCTGTGTGTAACAAATACAACAAATCTGATGAACAATATATATGCGAGCAATAGCTATATCTGATCCGATCTGAACCAAATTTGGCATACTAGGTTCTAGACTCAATTCGGTAGCATGTGCCAAATTCCATCCCATTAGACGTTTGGTGCACAATAAAAAGTAAATCGGGCGAAGTTATATATGGGAGCTATATCCAAATCTGAACCGATCTCGACAAAATTTAGCAAGGATATTTCTGAGCTGCATTTGATATATTTCTCAAATATTGTTGTTACAGAGTGCATATTACAGCTGCGGAGGACAAAAATAACGAATCGGATGAACTATACTATGGGAGCTATAGCTATATCTGAACCGATTTCGATTAAATTTGGCATACTTATTTTCAGGCATAATTTGGTTGTATGTGCAAAATCCCATACTATTCGGGCTGATATTACACGTTTGGTGCACAATGAAAGGCAAATCGGACGAAGATATGTATGGGAGCTATATCAAAATTTTTACCGATTACCCCAATTTCAATGGGGTTCGTCCTTGAGCCAAACAAATGTTGTTTGGAAAATTTTATCTCAATCGAATTCACAAGAATAAATGACAGACGGACTGACATGCATAAATCAACTCAGAAGGTAATTCTATGGAGATCCTCAAGGGGACTATGGGTCTATCTCGCTTCCTTCCCTATGTTACAAACAAATGCACAAAGACATAATACCCGAACCACTATGTGGTGTAGGGTATAAAAAAACAAAAAATCATAAAAAAATCATTCCAGAAATAAAAAAATATCTGTTCATCTAATACAGGACCAACTTAACTTCTATGTAGACAACCAAAAAAAAGTCAGTCCCTTCAACTACTATACTTTTAAATAATACCTCGTAGTCCAGTAAGGT